CCTCGTAGCCCTACCCACGAGCGCGTCGTGGAAAGAATCCCACCGAACTCGCCATCAAAATCAGCCCGAAGAACCTTTATCGGGGCGCGTGTCGACCAACACCTCGAGCCGAACCAGGCCGCGGCGACGAGGGCGCTCCTCGTTCGCCAAGGCTTGCCAGGAACGTCGAAGCCCAGGGGCACTCGCCCCCCTTCCCCTGCCACTGCAGTGCTGTTCTCGCCATCACTCGGACGTCCATTCCCTGTGCTTTTTTCGGTTTCGTGCGTGGTTTTTGTCGCCAAATGATGAAGGATGCTCCTCGATGGTCCTCGCCGAAGGGAAAAAGCACACGTCCGAGCGATGCCAGGCGTTCGCAACGCAGGCCGCTGCAGGTCTCGACCTCCTGTCCACCCTTTCCCCGAGGCCAGCTCAGCATCCTGTGCCACTTTCTGACGGCCCCGGGGGCCGGGAAACGACCCCGGGAGGCCGAACACTTCCACAAAAGACACACCCGTGGACTGGATCCACGAAGACTGGCGGAGGTCCGCGCGCATTCGGGGGATCGGCGCTGGACGCCCCCCTCCCCTGCGCGCAGAGCGCGCCGGGCGGCGGCGCCGCAGGCGCAAGGGGGGGGTGGGGCCCAGCGCAGATCCGATGAGTTCGCACGGACTCTCCACGGGCAGGGGGCTGGGAGAGGCAACTCCTGCTGTGTGTCTCTCTGACTCTTCAGTTGGCTCCCTCCTCCCCTCAGCACCCGCTCGCCGCGCAGCACTCGGGAAAACAGTAGAAACAGGTGAGGGAGGCAGGGACCAACTGGGAGGTCCTCGCGGCAACGCTTCAGGGCTGTCGTGCCAAGCCGCGCAGGATCCGAGGGTCCCCGTCGTCGACGGGCCTCCTTGCAAGCCGCGCCGCCGAACACGGGGGCCCGGCGCGCAGGCGGTCTCGCGGCGCTCAACTGGGGGCACAAACAATGGCACTAACATAACAACTCCGAGGTCCGCGCAGACTCCTCGGATATCGGCGCTGGGGCCCCCTGGCGGCGCCTCCGGCGCCGACCCGTCGCGCTCCGCGCGCCAGGGAGGGGGTCCGGCGCCGATCCGGAAAAGAACCGCGCGGCCCTCGGAGTCTGCTGCGTTCAGGCCTCAGCGTGTTCCCCTTTGATCAGCGGCGACCTGGCGGGCAGGTCCGCAGCAGACGGGGGCCTCGTGATCGATGCACGCAAGGGGGGGGGCTGTCCCTGCCGCCCTCTCGGCGGCAGGCACCGGAGGTGTGGCGCGCGGGGGGCGGTCCTCCCGAGAAGGCGGGGGAAGGCAGGCCTCCTGGAAGGCAGGGGGGGGGCCCTCGGGAGGGAGCCTGGGGCGTTCAGGAAAGGGCTCGGCGGAGGACGCGAGGCCTTCCAGGATGCCTCCTGCCTCGGGGATCTCCTGACCTGGGTCAATCCAGACCCGGGTCAGCAGGAAACCAAAAAC